ATGTGGAAGAGGAATTAGAAGTATTATGAGAAAATAATAAGATATAAAAACAAGATTCTATTAAATGAGTTAATTTATAGAAAGGAATAACAGTGTGAATGTAGTAAATGAATGTTTTCATGATGTATTATTGAAATCTTAAGTTTTGTTAAGAAGATAATAAGGGAATCAAATTTTGTATAAGGAAGTTTGACCGACAAGAGTGTATTGTGCACTCTTGTCGGTCTGCATGTCTCATTCCGGGTGACATTGTCACTGCATGTCTCCCAGAATGAGACAATCTTCCGCATTCATAACTTGAATGCGGAAGTTTGACCGACAAGAGTGTATTGTGCACTCTTGTCGGTCTGCATGTCTCATTCCGGGTGACATTGTCACTGCATGTCTCCCAGAATGAGACAATCTTCCGCATTCATAACTTGAATGCGGAAGTTTGACCGACAAGAGTGTATTGTGCACTCTTGTCGGTCTGCATGTCTCATTCCGGGAGACATTGTCACTGCATGCCTCCCAGAATGAGACAATCTTCCGCATTCATAACTTGAATGCGGAAGTTTGACCGACAAGAGTGTATTGTGCACTCTTGTCGGTCTGCATGTCTCATTCCGGGTGACATTGTCACTGCATGTCTCCCAGAATGAGACAATCTTCCGCATTCATAACTTGAATACGGAAGTTTGACCGACAAGAGTGCACAATACACTCTTGTCGATCTAAATGTATCTTACAATCAAAGACACTTTCATACAATCTTTTCGAAGTTAAAAAAAATTTAATTATTTCTTTCTTTTGTTTATTAAATCGCCTTACTCACGTACTAATCTCTTTTAGAGACTCTATCGAGCTATCCCCACATATAAACCTGTGACAATAATACATATTTACTCTCTTCATATTCTGATCTCATGACACATTATCGCAAAAACTATAATTATACAAGACATCTCATAAAGTCTCATTTTAGCCCTATCAGACATAAGATTGCGGCAGAGGAACCGGGAAGAGAGCAGCTTGAAGCGGTAAGATGTCCGAATGCTGTCTCCCAGGTGTATCTGTCAGGCAAAGTTCACAAGGAGGAGAGCTTTGCGCACAATCAAACAGAAGATTGCGGCAGAGGAACCGGGAAGAGAGCAGCTTGAAGCGGTAAGATGTCCGAATGCTGTCTCCCAGGTGTATCTGTCAGGCAAAGTTCACAAGGAGGAGAGCTTTGCGCACAATCAAACAGAAGATTGCGGCAGAGGAACCGGGAAGAGAGCAGCTTGAAGCGGTAAGATGTCCGAATGCTGTCTCCCAGGTGTATCTGTCAGGCAAAGTTCACAAGGAGGAGAGCTTTGCGCACAATCAAACAGAAGATTGCGGCAGAGGAACCGGGAAGAGAGCAGCTTGAAGCGGTAAGCTGTTTTCAAGTCTTTAGTTAACAAACTTTAACAAAAGACATCTAAAAAATTTGAAATAATTGCAAAATAATGCCGTCAGGTAATGCGCACCTAAGGGAGGTGTTTTGCGGGAGCTGGGGGTATCTTGGTGAGTACTCAGGAGGCCAAGAAGGGCACCCCAACCGACATTTTGCTGACGCATTGTGTAAGCAACCATTCTGATAACAGCTCACACCGTCGGGACAAAATAATTTATGAAATTATAAGTCATCTTTCTAATACATATTTTTGGAAGGGCGTAAGATACGCCAACTTAAATATATTATTAAATATGAGAAAATCGCTCAACAAAAAAACAATTCTTTCAAAAAGTTTGACATTGATCTTTCTAATACATATCCTATGGAAGGAGTTTACATTCACAAAATAAAAACCAGTTCAAAATCTTATTACTCCTTGAATTAAAATCATTTAATTTCAAATCCATTCCAAATCCTTAAATCTGTATTAAAATCATTTTGCCAACAACCATCACAATACAAATTACATTTCCATATATCTTCTTGTCCATTTTAATTTTTTATCTCATTTTATTTAATTTTATTTAAAGCATATAGACATCGAGATCCTTTACACATAGTTATATAAAAGTCAAATACATAATAAATTCTTAATTCTAGAGATATCTCAAAATCTCAATTTTTTAATTTAAAATACCTTTCATTTTTCACAGTACTATCACAACAAACAAGCCATTTACTAATTAACACATATAAGAAAAATATCAAATTACAAAACAACTTTCAATATCATTCGCATCGAATTCTATTTTTTCATAATTATCAACTACATGTTGTTATATAATATATGTCGGCGCATATTCCACTCTATACAAGTGTCAGACACACTCACACAAAGCTGTGAGATTCATACCTCTATCAGTAGGACTTCTCAAATCAAGAACACATATGTTTCACTATCGCACATCTGTGTAGGATCTAATTAACCCTTTGGACTGGTACTTCAAAATTTGATAATTTGATAATTTCATGTGATATCATCATTTGCCTTTAAAACAACTGTGCGTTAAACTAGACACGTTTCTCTATCATAATGCAAAATATCAAAGTTTGGGAGACTCCCAAAGTGTCTGAAACTGATCATAATGGTATTTTTAATTTTTCATCGTCGTTGAATATTTCTATTTGCTCCATTTTTTCATATGTAGCAATGGAAAACAATCTAAAGATATCTTAAAATTATTTATCCAATGTAAACTCAACTTTTCAATACTCGGTTCCAGACATGGTATTATAATATTCCTTAGTATTCCCATCGGAGTTGCAAAAACATATCAAAAAAAAAAAAAAACAAAAAAGGAATTGGGGCTTCCAGGCACTTCGTGCCCTCTAGCCCCGAAGATGTTTTGTCACTTTTCTGTCACTTTTCAGGAAAAAACATTTTTATTATTAAATATAAAATGAATTTTACAAAACCACCGTTACCGTTCTTTGGAAATAAGAGTAGATGTAAAGATATTCTATTGAGAGAACTTAAGAAACTACCGAATGGTCTAACATTTGTAGATTTGTTCGGTGGAAGTTTCTATATATCTCATTTGTGCCATACTGTATTTCCTGACTCAAAGATTATATGCAATGACTTCGACAACTATATGAACCGTCTCAAACATATACCAGACACTAACAAAATATTGAAAGAGTTAAAAGAAAAGATACCTATAGGTAAGATGGAACGTATACCATTAGATAAGAAAAATACTGTCAGAGAGGTTTTGAAAAAAGCAGAGTATATTGACTGGGATAGTATATCTTCTAGACTATTGTATAGTGGTTCTATAAGAGTTCATGACATTGAAACACTTATGTCAAACGTTTTATATCTTAACTATACAAAGGTTTTCAAAGAGAACATAGAAAAATATACTGAGGGTATAGAGTTTGTGAGATGTCGTTGGACAGAGTTGTATGAAAAATATAAAAACAAGGAAAATGTTTTCTTTATAGTAGACCCGCCGTTCTATAACACATGCGATTTTCAATACCAAGTAGACTGGACTTTGAGAGACTCTTTAGAAACTTTAGACGTTTTACATAACCATCCATGCTTTTACTTTACATCCGATAAAATGGTTTGGAAAGTGTTATGAGATGGTTAGAGGACATACATGACTATGATTTTAGATACGATAAGATAGAATATGAGAGAGGTCCTATAAACCGGAAAAAGTGTCATAACAAAGAAATTTTATTGGTAAGTAAATGTGGTTTGAAATAGGACTACTTGTTTTAGGTTTTTTCCATTGTGTCATTTACTTATTTGACGTGGCAGAAAGATATAGAGAATATGAAGATGAACCAATACCAGCAAATGTTCAGCATATGTACTCGTAAGAGATATTTTTATCTAATATTAAAATGGACGCACAGAACTTAGCGAATGCACAGCAACCTGGACAACCAAACCCAGAGAATATTCCAAATGAAGTTAGAATACAAACTGCAATGGCAAACTATGGTCAAGTGCCAACAGATGTACAAATGCAAACTGCCATGTCAAATGACGCTGCGTTAGGTTTGCCACCATGGTATGCAAATATGAGATGGAAAGAGTTTTATACAAACCCTGAAGTGGGATATAAACAACTCTATGCAGATGACGCGAACACAGGAGTTGACCCAGAGTATGTTTTCTACCAGAGGAGAAATAGAATGTATGAGCTCCAGTTAAAAAATGCTATGGAACTCAACAGGAAACGTAAGAGACTAGGCGGACATTAGATTTTTACATATAGTAAAATGGGTTTCTTTGGAAGAATAGGAAACTTCTTTCGAAATGTTGGAAGAGGTATATGGAATGGAATAAAATCTGTCGGAAGAGGAATTTGGAACGGAGTCAAAAATATTGGCAAAAGAGTAGGTCAGTTCGTTGGTATTATACCTAAAGACCCTGAACCAGAAGAACAAGCTCCTGTTATACAACAGCCTGAACCTGCACCACAGTCTAGTTGGCAACCAAATCCAACACCTCAACCGTATTAAAAAATCATATTTTTACCGTTCGATAATAGTTGTATATGAAACTAAGTTCTAAGTAAAACGCATGGTATAATGGAATTATTCTCTTTCTTCCATCTGTTGTAAACCATACTTGAAAGTCTGAAATACTTCCACTCGGTGGTTCATATAGCTTTGTAGGTTTTTCGTAAAAGTCATTTGCCAAGCATAAAAAAGAGTTTTGTGCACCAGAAAATGAAGCATGAACTATAATAGCATCTTGGTCGAAAACATTTTCATATGTTCCATTAGGGTTTTCGACTTCATAAAAGTTCGGGTGTACTGGATATTCTGCAGGCTGATTTAACATCCTCAAAAATCTATACCATGCCAAGTTGAAGGACACGACGGCTTTGCCAGATTCTACTGGAAACATGACGAACAATTGCATCCCTTGAGACGGAAAAAAGGGAAGGGTGAAGACGCACATGCTCCCATGGAAAGAACAAGATATGCATATGAAAAGTATCGTGAAGTTAGAAGTAAAATTACTTCTGGTCGAACCTTTACAGTAAATTTTGACGAAGGAAAGAACAAAGAAGGCTTCATGGGAGTACTTGCTGCAATTCAAGACGGAAATAAGAAAGGATACAATCTCAGACTAACCGTAAAAGATTTGGATGGTCATATTTACTATGCACATGGCAATGTCACAACAGCCGCACAACTTCTTGACGCTTTCAAGACTACAAAGAGAGAACAAATGTTTGACTCCGACTCAGATATTTTGAATGCAATTGAAGGAATTGCAAGCGTGAAGTTCGAATGGTTACAACCCAACCCTCAAGCAGTCAGACAACATGCTGGATACTTCCCGTTCAGAAATAAGTCTGACATTGACTTAACAAGGTATGGAATTTACAATTCAATTGAAAAAATTGTCAATAAACCTTGTATTCTTACATGTCTCAGGAACTCTGGTCTTGTTACAGATGAGAAAATGAAGTATCTTGAGTCATGTGTGAAGACGAGGTACGTTCTCAGAAGTCAATTGACAAAGATTGCACCGTTGGCAAATGTCAATATCCGAGTCAACATTCCGACTGAGAAAGGTTCTTCACATGACGACTATGTTGTTGACTTCAAATTGCCATGGTTGAAGATTGTACTTGTCCACAACCACTTCATGTTGAACGAAAGTCTTACAAACCCATTGTTCGGAAAAGGCAAGTGCAACATTGTCAGAGCTGTTAACATTCTTTTCGAGAAAGGCTTGTTGGAACCAATTCCAGATGACAAGCTGACAGAAACTTTTGTACCAAAAGACGAAACAAACTTTTCATTGTTGGTAAGACCAAAAGTTGTTCCAGACAAAGTTCTAGTACAAAAGAAGTACACAGTTCCAAAAGGAGTTGGATTGTTCGGATACCAACCTGAACCAGAAGAACTTCCAATGAGGTTGCAAGAACTTCAAGATGCTATAAACAAACTTCCATTGAGACATCCAATTGACGTCAAATTGTATTGGAGAGCATCTGAGTTAGGTCAGAAGGTTTTATATGAAACAGGTTGCTTTGACGATGTTTATGAGATAACAGGAGAAGTTTCTCAGAAGATAAGAGACTCACTTGAATTTCCACGAACTGGACCCATTGGTTGCGACAAGTTCGACTCATACGAAAAAATATACTATGTCGACCTTAACGCTGCGTACATGAGGTTTGTCCAATATATTCCGACTGGAATTCCAAACGAAGATGGTGAGTTCCCGGGAAGGAACTATACAGTTGGAAAGGTCATACAACAACTATATGATATTAGGAAAGCTTCAAACCCCAAACTTGCAATGACACTCAAATTGCTTATGAATTCGACATGGGGGTATTCCATTAAGAAACCTCAAAAGATGAAGAGTAAACACTATGAAAAGGTCGACAACTTTGTTGAAAGGTTTTCTCCTTTTGTTTTGAAATACGAGTTCACCGAAGGTCAAAATGGCTTAGTAACCACAGTAAAACCTATTGTCGAACATTGGTCTTATCCTCAGTTCGCAAAGGCAGTCCTTGACAACTACAACAAATTTTTCTCGGAAGTTAAATCCAAAGTGAAGGTATACTATGAGAACATCGACGCACTCATGACGAACGAAGAAGGGTATAACAAACTCATTGAAATGGGAATGGTCGGTGAAAAGATGGGCTTTTTTAAGCTAGACAAGGTATTTTCCGAAGTTCATGTTCTCTCCAAGCGTAAGTACTGGGCCGTACTTGAAGACGGCACAGAAATAAAACATTGCATGAAATAAAACATTGCATACCATTTTAAAACGTTTTTAAAACAGTATATTTTTACTTATATTAAATGCTTCAGGTTGAAAAACAAAGAACAAAAGCAGCAGATACAAAACCGTTAGACTATATCTTTACAAACGCTGGTAGGAATATTTCAGATGAAGAAATTTCATCCGGAGCTTACAGGTTTGACTATCCAATTCGTTGGCTTCAAAGTCCTTCAGATGCAAAGGCAATAGGATTTAGAAGAGTTTTGTTTTCAAATAGAACTAATGCATTCATGTTCGCAGTATATTTTCATGGCCAGTATAAAGGCTCTGACGGTCTAATAGAAAAATTTGACGAAATGAAAATCTTTACAATTCGTTCAGACGAAAGTCTTGAAAAAACTCTAAATGACTTTCAAACTCAAATGAACAAATACTACTGGGAATTTCAAGAAAAATACCACTCTTTACTAAATGGAACGTACTATCTGAAGCTAGAATACGACAAGATGAACTCCACCGTTTCATTTCAAAAGATTGAAATTAACCCTCCAAGAGATACAGAGTTTTTATATTGGGGGGTGGACAAACGTTCTTGGGCACAATTTCTTCGGTTACTAAACCAGAACGAACCATTACCACCAGATGGTCCATTTAAATTTGTACTTCCACCAGCAGATTTGACAGTTTATAGAAACGTGTTTGACCCTCAAAATGTCATGTGTCATGCAAGTTTCAGTTCAAGCAACAACAGTTTTCTGTGTATCGGTAAGGACTTTTATGACTTTGCTTCTAAATTCTACGAACCACCTAGTAACAGTTTCTCTGACTTTCAAGTTTGGTTCACAACAAACGGTGTGCAGCATATTATACCATTGTACTATGACTTTTATCTCGAATTGTCTTTCATATACAACTACGGAAAAGTGCTGAAAAAGTATTGAAAAATATATTTTAGGCGAACCAGGTCCCTCGGTCCCTCGGTCCCTCGGTCATTTTAACTTCTCTGAAAAAGTGTGACAACATGACATTTTGACAACAACACAGGAAATAGACTTTCATCGTATATGTTTTGTCATGACTTTCATCGTCAATGTTTTGTATAAAAAGCACCCGCCGGAATTCCGCGGGGTGGTATATTCTTCACGAAATGCTTGTTTTGTCATGAATTTCATCGTCAATGTTTTGTATAAAAAGCAACCGCCGGAATTCCGCGGGTTGGTATATTCTTCACAAAATGTTTGTTTTGTCAAGACTTTCATCGTCAATGTTTTGTATAAAAAGCACCCGCCGGAATTCCGCGGGGTGGTATATTCTTCACGAAATGCTTGTTTGTCAAGACTTTCATCGTACATGTTTTGTATAAAAAGCACCCACCGGAATTCCGCGGGTTGGTATATTCTTCACGAAATGCTTGTTTTGAGGTCGAGCCATTTTGGCTCCACCGTAGAAAACACACAAAACTCATTTTTTTCGGCAAAAATATATTTTGGGTTAGATGGTTTTTAGGTGTCAGTACGTCACCAGGTAATTTAAACTTCTCTGAAAAAGTGTGACAACATGACATTTTGACAACAACACAGGAGATAGACTTCTTCGTCAATGTTTTGTATAAAAAGCAACCCGCGGAATTCCGCGGGTTGGTATATTCTTCACAAAATGCCTGTTTTGTCATGATTTCATCGTCAATGTTTTGTCAAGACTTTCATCGTCAATGTTTTGTCAAGACTTTCATCGTCAATGTTTTGTCAAGACTTTCATCGTCAATGTTTTGTATAAAAAGCACCCGCCGGAATTCCGCGGGTTGGTATATTCTTCACAAAATGCCTGTTTTGTTGAGACTTTCATCGTCAATGTTTTGTATAAAAAGCAACCGCCGGAATTCCGGCGGTTGGTATATTCTTCACGAAATGCTTGTTTTGTTGAGACTTTCATCGTCAATGTTTTGTATAAAAAGCACCTGCCGGAATTCCGGCGGGTGGTATATTCTTCACAAAATGTTTGTTTTGAGGTCGAGCCACTTTTGGCTCCACCTGTTTTTTCAACCAAAGCTCATTTTTTTCGGCAAAAATATATTTTAGGTGAAGTGGTGAGATCTCACCTCTTTTCTCACCTCTTTTCTCACCCGTTGAATTTTCATGAATTTTCCCGAAATAAAAAAAGTTAGTTTTTTTAAAAAAATATTTTTTATTTTTATTGTAAGAACATGTTAGCAACAACAGCACCAAACTCGTTAGTCATGAACCCAACATCTATGTTAGTAGAGATGAAAAGCTTCATTCCTTCTTCATATACTTTCGAAACAGAAATCCAGAAGATAAAGCAAGAACTTCTCCAAGGAGATTTAGACTGTAGTGCGAAAGATGAAACAAATGAAGAATATCTTTATGAAATGCAGGATATTATTGACCATCTACCTAAACTTCCTGAAATACAACAACAAAAGCTCACTATTCCAGAATTCGATGAAATAGAAGTCAAAGCAACTGACTCAGTAGAAACCAAGAAGTTCATACGTAAGGTAAACTATGAGTTTCTTGGATTTCATTGCAACCACAAAGTCATGGACAAAGATTGCGATATGTTATATAAGAACATCTCTGACATATACAAATCTGAAGAATTTAAGACCTACGACAACTTTGTTTCGTTAGTTGCAAAATGTGTATGGCAGATAAGAGATAAAGATAAAAGAGGTAAAGTATGGAACGAACAGATAAAACCAGCAACTTTTGAGTTAAAGAAAACCATTGACGCCTTAGTTGTTTTAGCAGGTTTTATTTCAATGTACAATGCTAAAATGAACCCACAATGTTCTAAATGTAAAGCAGCAATGAGGAAATATAACTACTCCGTCAAAGAGATAGAAAGAATGCGAAACGACTATGCAGATTTAAAGAAAGAAGCAGAGAAACCAGCAGAAGATAAAATGGACATGTTGACATTTCTGAACAAAAACTATCCAACAGCTGACGATTTCCTTCTATCTGATGTCAAGAAGAAATATAAAGAAACATTCGGCATAGTTAAAACTTTTGACATACTGACAGAAGAAATAGAAGCTACAAAACTGTTTAGAATTTCAAATATACATCGTACAATTCATGTAAAACGCTTGTGAAAAAGAGGTGAGAAAAGAGGTGAGAAAACAGGTGAGATCTCACCATCTACCCTAAAATATATTTTTGCTGAGTAAAATGACCAAATTTCATTATATAACTGTTATGAGTGACGAAGAGAACTTTGACACTTCGTAAAAAAAATCCCTGAAATCATATCTTTTATACAAAATTCAAGAGGTGAGAAAAGAGGTGAGAAAACGGGTGAGATCTCACCTCTTCACCTAAAATATATTTTGGGTCATTTACACTCATTGACGATGAAATTCATGACAAAACATTTACGATGAAGTATATTTCCTGTGTTGTTGTCAAAATGTCATGTTGTCACACTTTTTCAGAGAAGTTCGTTTAACCGAGGGACCGAGGGACCGAGGGACCTGGTTCCACCTAAAATATATTTTTGCTGAAAAAAATGACCAAATTTCATGAATTTCCTCATATGTTTGCTACCCGAGGAAAACCGAGGGTAGAGATTCCGTACGAAAATCGTAAAAAAACTCTATGAAAATCGTAAAAAAATGCGACCCGCGGAAAACCGAGGGTCGAGATTCCGTACGAAAATCGTGAAAAAACTCTATGAAAATCGTGAAAAATTGCGAGTGGGAGAAAAACCCTGGTCGCCTAAAACTCATGAAAATCGTAAAAAAATGCGAGTAGGGAAAAAACCGGGGTCGCCTAAAACTCATGAAAATCGTGAAAAAATGCGAGTAGGGAAAAAACCGGGGTCGCCAAAACTCTATGAAAATCGTAAAAAATTGCGACCCCGACTTTTCCCGGGGTCGCCTAAAACTCATGAAAATCGTGAAAAAATGACCAAATTTCATGATATA